ACTCGAGCCATATTACACCCGGAAGGTAACTTCATCCGTTGATAACTCGCCTAATACTGGAAGTATGCGGCGAGAGGAGGAGAATGTGGAGAAATCAATGTCTGAGAATGGTGAGAGATCGGAAAAATCAATTTCTGTAACGATTCCTTGGGAAGGAGACTTGGTTGAGGAGGAGCAAGAGAATGAAGATGAAGAGGAGATTGAGACAAGAGGTGTTAGGCCAACGGCTCAGGGAGAACTACTTACCTATAGTAGGAAGGGGAAACAAATTGCGGGAACAGTACCAACAGTACCTACAGTGCCACTGGTGCCAAGTCCCTTGCCAACGCCTGAACCGACTCCTGAGACACCTACACCACCACAAGATTCCTCTCAAGGTGACTCCATTTCTCTTCCTATTCCTCCCACACCAATAACTGTACGGAGGACTACTCGCAGTAATGCGGGAAATCCTCCCGATAGATATGGTTGGGATCTTGCTCAGTTTGTATCATATTCTAACATCCACCCTACTCATGGAGCATTCATTGCATCATTGGACTCTGTTACTATACCTAACAATTGGCAGGTTGCAAAGAAGGACCAGAAATGGAAAGCTGCTATGCACGAAGAGCTAAGGGCCCTTGAGAAGAACCGCACTTGGGAGTTAGTAAAACTACCAAAAGGGAAGAGAGCAGTTGGATGCAAGTGGGTCTTCACTGTGAAGCAGAATCCAGATGGACAGGTTGAGCGCTACAAAGCTCGTCTGGTGGCAAAAGGATATAGTCAGACATATGGCATCGACTACGATGAGACTTTTGCACCGGTGGCAAAGATGAGCACTGTTCGAACCTTGATCTCTCTGGCAGTAAATGGTGGATGGAAGCTACACCAATTAGATGTGAAGAATGCATTTCTTCATGGAGATCTGGTGGAACAACTCAAAGTGAGACTGGGTAAGGAATTCGAGGTGAAAGATCTTGGCTTGCTTAGATACTTTCTTGGAATAGAGATAGCTCGAGGAGCGGAGGGGATCGTCCTATCCCAGAGAAAGTATGCACTGGATCTTCTCAAAGAGACAGGAATGTTAGGGTGCAAACCTGCAACTACACCGATCGACCAGAAGTTCAAGCTGGGTGCTGAGGCTGGAGAACCAGTTGATCGTGACAGATACCAAAGGCTGGTAGGGAGGTTGATCTATCTGAGTCACACACGTCCCGATATCTCTTTTGCAGTGAGCGTGGTGAGCCGCTACATGCATGATCCAAGGAAGGGTCATATGGATGCTGTGTACCAGATTCTGAGATATCTGAAGAGTGCCCCTGGAAAGGGACTGATATTCAGGAAAAATGGACATGTGAGCATCGAGGGTTATTGCGACTCCGATTGGGCTAGCTGTGCTAATGACAGGAGGTCCACCTCGGGATACTGCATCTTTATAGGAGGTAACTTAGTCTCATGGAAGAGCAAGAAGCAATCAGTGGTGACGAGATCAACTGCTGAGGCAGAGTATAGAGCTATGGCCTTAGGAGTTGCTGAGTTGCTATGGTTAAAGAGTATGCTGGTGGAGCTGAAGCTGGATCAAGGAGCTAAGATAAAGTTATGGTGTGACAACAAGTCAGCTATCAGTATTGCCAACAACCCAGTGCAGCATGATGAACCAAACACATCAAGATCGATAGGTTCTTCATCAAAGAGAAGTTGGATAGTGGACTACTGGAGCTAAGTCATGTTTCGACTAAGGACCAGGCAGCAGATTGTCTGACTAAAGGACTCAGCTCAGTAGATATGATTAGAGGATGTGACAAGATGGGCTTAATAGATATCTTTCGCCCATCTTGAGGAGGAGTGTTGACATTAGTAATATATGTAGGGGGTTATGTGTAAGTTGTGTAGGGCCTATATAAGCCCAAGAGATCTCATAATAGGGTTAGGGTTTGTATTATCAATTGATTTCATGGGAGGATCGAAACCCTAATAACCCTAATCAAATTTTGGGGTTTTTTGATTAAGGTTTTGGGTTTTTATCCCTTTCCTTGTTAATTGTATTCAATCCCTCGCATTTTTTGTTCTTGACAGGAACCGAAGACTCCCCCTTGGTCTTTTGAGGACTTCAATTTCCTCATCACAACCTTCCTCAAAACCCTAGCTCTCTTTTTCATGGTTTGGCTCCTGTCTTTTGCATTTTAGTCTTGATCCTTCTCAATTTTAGTCAATGATTGATCTTTAGCTCGGTTTTGGGAGAAAATTAGAACCTTAATTTTGATTTTGGACGAAGGTCGAGGCTTTGATTTTAGTCAAGACACATTGGTTGTGTATCGTTCGCCGTTTCGTCGATTTGCGCGCTTCGTTGCTTTGTTGTTCCGTTGTTCTGCGCGTTCCTTTGCTTCCTTTTGGCATCAGATGATCTTCTTTGACTCGGATATCGACATTCTTCGTCTTCAATTTGTCTTGAGTTGCGTGTGGGAACCTATAGGCAATTTTTAACGTGTACAATTAGCATACCATTCAACTAGGACATCCAGATCACAAGATTTCCGGGAGAATTGTCACGCCCCTGCCCGCAAGCATGTTGGTACGAGTAAGCTGTAGGACCCACTAAGTGTAGCGTGTTATTTGGCTAAAACGAGTGTCAAAATCGGCTAGTCAATGCTACATTTGAGTCTTTAGCCTTACTATATAAACCACCTACTATCACACACGCCCACCTATGTGGGACTATGTTTAGGGGCATCACAATCACCCCACCTTGTATATGCAATGTTCTCGTGGTGACATAACAATTGGCACATCTCAGTATTACAGTCCATATGTGATAATCTCCTTCAAATCAAGGTACACCCAAGTATCTTATAAGTAGCACCTCATCACTGAAACCCAACATGGAACTGATAGTAGCCTTCGTATGATCATCAAACCCACCATAAAAGCTAGAGCATTTTGTAGGATTAGCTTCAAGCCCAGTAATTGCACTAAACTCTAGGAGGCCTTGATTAAGTTTATGAATAGATTGAATATCTCCTCTTCCAAATAATAACAGGTCATCTGCAAAAAATAAATGTGTGAACTTGAGACAAAAGCATTTAGGATGGTATATGAAATCTCGTCATACCTCAGCAAGTTGAGTCTGCTTGAAAGATGCTCCATGCCAATAACAAATAGAATGGGAGAGAGGGGATCTTCCTGCCTTCAACCCCTTTCACCATTAAAGTATCCATGTAAGGTGTCATTTAGTGAGATTGAAAACTTAGGAGAGGTGATGCGAGCCATGATTCACTTAGTCATTTTAGGAGGGAAACCCAAACCAGTTAGCATTGAATGATGGAAGCTGCAACTGATGGTATCGAAAGCTTTTCTGATACCAATATTAGGGGAAGACGTTATTGTTCCCTGGGCATGTTACATGTATTGTCTGTGTCCTTGTGCATGTGCATGTGTTGCGTGTTTGTGTGCGTGTATGCATGTGCGTACTTTTTTATGATCAAAAGATCAAAATGCTAACTCCCTCCTTAGTTTCTTTCTAGTTTATCTTCATTTATCCATCTTACGCCTTGTTTACCATCTGTAAACCCTTCATGTCTCTTCTTCAAGCCCACAACCAAAGTTTGTCCTCTCCTCCTCCTTATGTCTTTTCTTCTACACCTCTTATCTCCTCCTTCTCTTTTTCTCCTTCATTTCATCCTAAAACTTTCTTCTATTTGATGTACTCCAGGTTGCTATCGTTTAATCAGTGTAAATCACATGAAAGTCTTCTGGTATTCTAACAAAGTCTAACAGAGGAAGGTATATATTTGCTACCATCAATAAAATTGAATATCAAAGTGTTGCAACAAGAAAAGAATTGGTAATTTGTGTAAAACATCGGAAAGTTTGAGGTAGTTATACGCTGCTTTGTCAAAGAAGATAAAAAAATTGTTATTGAAGTTTGGTATTAATTTTCTATTAGCATTTTTTATCAAATAACCTAGTAGCAAACAAAATTTGAATGTTATGTTAAAACATTAGAATAACCAATTAAATTCATGTGTAAATAATATCCCATTCTATGTAATATTGTAGGCAAATATTTTCAAATCATTGGACTCAGACTATTTGTTGCAAACAAATATTAGGAGATATAGTCAATTGGAAAAACATAAAAGTTGATATCTTTTTACCCTTTTATATTTTGTTTTCTCCTTCAGTTGATAAGACGACTTGTTGGATTAGCATTCTTCTACCATATCAACCAGGAGCGCTCATCATCAAAGTCTATTAGCACAGTTCATACTTCACTTGGGTATCCACAGAAATTTTAAGATAAAATATAAGATCCTCAAATAGACTGGTTTTGCAAAAAAAAAAAAAACCTTGGTAAAAAATACTATTACTGTTGTGCAAGTACTCAAGTACATTAAGCTCTTATGATTTTCCTAAATCTAGAATTCTCTTTCTACCAACTATTACTTTTTGTTGTTCCTTATTTAATTGCTTCTTTACTTCTTTAATCATACTCTGTTCTTATTGCTTCTAGTTTAATCTTGATGGAACTGACATCATAGTCCTATGCATTATATTCTGTCCCCTTTCGTTTTGGCTTAGTTGGTCATATGATATGATAATCACTGGGGGTTAACTAAGAGGATGCTCCATTTTCAAAGCATAGTGGAAGAATACAGCTACCTACCAACCCACTAATATGAATTTGAAATGCCACATACAGTTGAGAGCATGAAGAAAAATATGTGAGAAATGAAGGGTTGAAAATCTTCAAGACCACCATATAGTCTCATTTGTCCATCATTTATATTAATGTTTGAAATGTCTAATACAATTGAGAGCATGCTGAAAGCATGCTGTTGTTGTTGTTGTACGAAAACATGTTAGAAAGGGATAGAAATGTTTTCAAGACCATTCCCATCTATGGATCATTTGATAACGTTGGAAACGACTACAAACACAAATTGAAAAGATACCATAAAGTATATTATTCTCTTCTCGAAACTTATAATAGTTAATAATGTAATCGTGGTGTATAACAGTTACTGCTCTCCAAAAAATCGCACTGAAGTTGCAGAAGGAATGGAACTTCTCCGTAGATCCTTGCAGTGGAAGTGAGGGATGGAAAGATCCTTGGGTCAGTAACTACATTGCCAACAATGTCAACTGCAGTTGCAATGCTACCCTCTGTCATGTAACTAGCATGTAATTTATCATAACTTTTGAATAGATTACGCAGAAAATAACACCTTATCGATATTAAAAGAAGCTAAAAGTTACACTTTTTTGCCTTTAGAGAGCTCAAGAGTCAGAATCTTTCAGGTGAACTGCCATCTGAGCTCGCTAATCTTACCCATCTAAATTTTTTGTAAGTGTGCAGAATTATAGCTTTAACTTGAACTAAGTAAAGGTTTATATTTGACTAATTCTGAGATTCATCATCATCATTATTATTGTTCTGGTCAGAGATCTCTCTAGGAACTACCTCAATGGATCAATTCCTGCATCCTGGGCTTCTCTTCCTCTAACTAACCTGTAATTAACTCTGAACTTGCAGCTACTACATAACAACTACTGCTATGGCAGTGATGTAATTGTCTCTGTTTTGCAGGACTCTTCTTGGAAACCGCATCTCCGGAAGAATCCCAGAGGAGCTGGGAAGCATGTCTACTTTACTGTCATTGTAATATTTTCTTGTTTTATCTTTATATATCTATATTATATAAATGGATGTAAACCAATAGTTTATTTTGCCAAATGAGTTACCGAGGGGTGAATAAGTGAGGAATGCCAAATTATTAGTCATATTCAATAGATGGGGTTCACCCGTGCTACCTGTCAGTAATTCATAATCACGAATGAGCTATCAGATGATACCTAGTATCCTCTGTCCGTGTGTGTGTGATATATAATACATACACATACGTATACACTGAAATATTGGTATGAAGTGGTAGGTCATTTAGAAAAAATGAGCTGCCTAGAGATAGGTTAGCCGCGGGGCTCACCCTATTAGTCACATTGGAGCAGGTGGACCTCACTGCTATCTAGTAAGATCTCATTTTGGTAAATGAGATCACAACTCATATCTAATATCACTCGTGTACTCACATATATAGAACATACATGCATCCCTACATACATACATATGTATACACACACACACGTATGTATATATGTACACACACATGTGAGCATGTGCACACACAAACGCCCGCGCGTGTATGTGTGGTGTTTGTGTTCATGTGCACATTACGTTATGTTTATAAAAAAAATTATATCAATTTGTTTGCGCTTTAGTAATGATTTTGGATGGGCAGTGTGTTGGAGGATAACCAGATGGAAGGCCCGATTCCAGCAACACTAAGTAAACTTACTATGTTAAATCGGCTGTGAGTATACTCATCCTCTGTTTTAATAATATGAACCTGAACTTAATTTCCTATCTGTTTATATTCTTTACTAATTGTTTTAGGTTTTATTTTCATTACTGAAGGTTTCTAACAGGTAATAATTTCTCTGGACAGTTGCCAGAGTCCCTTGGCAATCTTAAGAACATGAAAGACATGTGAGTTGAGATTCTCTTGTCAACATTTTATTCTTGTGCTAATGGTGCTGGGAGTCTAATTGCCAAAACTAGTCTGTCTAATTGTAAAAAAAAAAGTGTAACCAGCCAACAAGCCCGTTATCTGCTCATTATTACCTTTAGTTGGATGGAACTCGCATCATATTCCCATGCATAAAGTAGTGCACATTATCTGCTCATTATTGCCTATAGTTTGAATGAAGTTAAAGAAAGAAAAATATTTGCTTGCTTTCTTGTGCAAGAATCATGGTTATAGAATCTGATTCTAGCATGTTCGGGTGGGATAAGTATTAGGATGAGCAACTTCTTCAGTTAAGTATCAGAGATAGATTGATGACTTCCTTAAACATATAGAAATACAAGAGCAAAATGTTTCAATGGATGGTTTCATAGATATATTTGGAAATCATCTGGGACTTGAAATTCAAACTTAAATTCAACATTGCAAAAATTATTATTTTAACTTCATTTCCTGCCACTCATTTGCAGGAGAATAGATGGGAATCCAATTTCAGGGAAAATCCCCGACTTCATTGGCAACTGGAGTCAACTCCAAAGATTGTGAGTTCCACCCTAGTATTTGTTAATTTTCACGCAAATAAAGTGGATTATATTAATGTTTGAGTCCAAATAAATTGTAGAGACATGCAAGGAACTTCTTTAGAAGGACCCTTTCCTCCCAGCTTTGCCAAATTGAGCTCCATAACCGAGCTGTAGGTGTCAGTTAGATCTTCAATTCCATTTGCTACTCACTCAATTTATCCAATTTTTTTAGTTAACTTACTTTTATTCTTTTCGCTTTGTAGGAGGGTTAGTGACTTGAAAGGGGGAGATGGTAAATTTCCTCCACTACATAATATGAACGGCATGAAAGAACTGTGAGTGTGGTTTTCTGAACAAAAATGCATTTATTTTTCTTTATAATGAATTGTGATTCCATGGCCAAAATTTTGAATCAGTGATATGATGCAGGGTCTTGAGGAACTTATCAATATCTGGTCAAATTCCCTATTACATTGGAGATATGCCCCTCAAATTATTGTAAGCTTGTTCAGGTGTTTTCTTATTTATCATATGATTGTCTATTTAAATCTTACCTTAGAGGTGGCTGTACTAATGTATATGCTCTTAATGAAAGTAACTAGCCATCCTTTAACCACGTAGACATGCTTAGTCTCAAAAACCACGTATCGTGCTTCTTAAGGACCTAGATAGATTTTTACCTTTGTAGAGATGCTTCCTATATATTTCATAAAATAATACATTAACTATCATCCTCTAAACTAAGTGTGGCCTCTGGCATAGTACTAATTAGCTTGTTGATGAGGTGGCTGTACTAATGTATATGCTCTTAATGAAAGTAACTAGCCATCCTTTAACCACGTAGACATGCTTAGTCTCAAAAACCACGTGACGTGCTTCTTAAGGACCTAGATAGATTTTTACCTTTGTAGAGATGCTTCCTATATATTTCATAAAATAATACATTAACTATCATCCTCTAAACTAAGTGTGGCCTCTGGCATAGTACTAATTAGCTTGTTGATGAGGTTCTAATTGGAGATAAAAGCATTCACAATGTAACAAGTGTCACACCCCGAGCCCGCGAGCCCGTTGGCGTGATGTAAGCCGTGGAACCCACTGAGTGTAGTGCACTGTTTGGCTCAAACCATCCCCAAAATCGACTAGGCGATGCTATACTTGAATCTCAAGGCTTACATTATAAACACTACCAAATCATTGTCACCACTCGACGTGGAACTAAAGTTTGGGGTGTTACAATCACCCCGCCTTAAATAGGCATCATCCTTATTGAGACATGACAATTAGTCTATCCCATTATCACTGCCACGCGATGTGGACTCTAGAGGTGTCTCCTACGCGCTTTAGAGGTGGCTCCCAACCATTTGTCATGTCACGACAATTGGTTCGTTCCAAGATAACCGCCAGGCGCCGTGGACTCTGGAGGTGCCTCTTACGGGCTTTAGAGATAGCTCCTAACCATTTGTCATTTTGTGATGAGGACGTCGCATATGTAAGGTGGGGTGATTGTGATAACTTCAATCCCACATTGAGCAATGACAATGATTTGGTAGTGTTTCTCACATTGAGCGGTGACAATGATTTGGTAGTGTTTATAAGATAAGCCTTGAGATTCAAGTACAACCTCAACTAGTCGATTTTGGCAGTGGTTTGAGCTAAACAACGCGTTACACTCAATGATCCCAGGGATTACAACGCGCCAACGGTCTTGTGGGCCGAGGGAGTGACAACAAGTTTCTTTCATTTTACCTTTTTCTATCTTTACCCTTCTTATATTTCTCTTGCAGAGATTTAAGCTTCAACAAGCTGAGCGGCACTATTCCTAGTAATTTCGTTAAGCTGCAAAATTATATTACTAATATGTAAGCATATCCTTTCACATGATTTGAACATTAAGGTTAGAATCCTATTTCTTTTAGTAACTTATAACTTGTAATGAGTTTGTCTTCTCCTTGTAGGTACATTACTAATAACATGCTACAAGGATCGATACCCAATTGGATCTTCACCAGCAAAGAATACTTGTAAGTTAAATATTTACCGTAACCTTACATAAAAAATTATTTTGTTATAAATATTTTTGGTTTATGAATAAATGAAGCAGTTGAACCATCTTATAACCTGATAATTCCAGGGATTTATCTTATAACAATTTCACAGGATCCCCAGCACCAACAACTTGCCAACAAGGAAATGTGTAAGGAAACTCAGCTTCATCCCCTTTCTTTTTCAAAGATAATTAAGACTTCTTTATGCTTTCTCACAGTCAGATTTTTCTCTTATTTTCATGCAGTAATTTTCTTTCGAGCTATTCATCCACAAATAGCAACAAGTAAGCTTCTTCTGATCTTACCAACTAATTAATTTTCTATTTCAAAAAAATTATTCTAACTTTCTTCCTTTTTTATTATTCTACAGGATACTAAGATGCTTACAGAGAAATATTCCTTGCTCAGAAAATCCAAGTGGGTTTCAAAACTTATTGAGATCTCCTTTAAGAATTTAAATTCAGCACTAATTGTTTCTGATCCATATCACCCACAGATTTCAACTTGTTCATAAATTGTGGGGGTGGCAAAGTTACTATTGGAGATGATGAATACGAAGATGATGATACATCACCACTTGGAGCAGCAATCTATTCTCAAAGTGAGAGTGGAAAATGGGCTTATAGTAGCACAGGATCTTTTGTGGGCAAGGATAAAGCCCAATATATTGCAATCAATACATCAACGTTGAATACCTCCAACCCTGAGTTGTATATTAGAGCTCGGCTCAGTCCCCTATCTCTTAAGTATTATGGGCTTTGCTTACAGAACGGAAGCTATAATGTGAGTCTACATTTTGCTGAGATAATATTCACGGATGATCAAACCTTTTATAGTGTTGGAAGACGAGTATTTGATGTATCAATCCAGGTGAGTGGTTTTTAATTTTTCCGTAGTAAAGCTAAAACAATTAGTATAGTTTGTTTCTCATTAATCCAACAAGAAGATTTCAAAACAAAACAGGCATATTGGCTTTATTATCCTCTTTACAAAGATATGAAGTTGCATCGAATGATGGTATGAATAACCCCAGCGTATACTATTATTGGATGAGATCTGACCTGATATGATTGTTCATATATATAAATACAAGGACGAAACAGGCTAAAAACTAAAAACCAATATCATCCAATGGCTAGGATTCAGTCAAACAGTCAACAGACACATGCATTAATTATCTTATTAAACACATGCATTAATTACCTCAACGCAGTGAATCCAGATTCATTACCTCAACGAACACGCCCTTCACTGCAGTGAATCCAGATTCATTACTTCAACGAACACGTTTTTCACTGCAGTGAATCCAGATTTGTGTTAGTTGAGGTAATTAATGCATGTAATTAATGCATGTGTCTGTTGACTGTTTGACTGACTCCCAGCCATTGGATTCATCTAGTACTTTCAAGTTCGAATTTTATCCTTCATTTACTTATTTGATTGATTTTCAGTTGTTTTAACCATGCAAACTTTAGTTTCTTAAATTCTGTTACACTGAATCAAAACTTACGACTTTGTGGTAAGGGTTGAGGTTACACAGTGAACATGGTTAAACATTTTTTAATTAAATCAGTGGGAGTTCTGTAAGTGCTTATTACTTGTAGAATGAGATGTGATTGACACATGATTACGCATTCAATACATACAGGGAGAAAAAGTTTTGGAGGACTTTGATATTGCAAAAGAAGCTGACGGGACGGGAAAGACAATCATTAAGAACTTCACTGCGAATGTTAATGGCACTTTGGAGATTCACTTCTACTGGGCTGGGAAAGGAACTCGCTCTGTTCCGCATAAAGGTGTATATGGACCTCTTATATCAGCTATTTCAGTCACACCAAGTAAGCTCTCTTATCTCTTCATAAGCATTTGGGTGAAGTAATTCTTTAAAAATGGTATTGGAACACTGTAGATTTCTGGTTTAAAATATTCTTCGAGTACCAAGGAGTAATATTAGCTTGTTATACATTATTAGCCCACGATCCATCGTCTCAAGCTTTTGACTGAAGTTTTTTTTTTTACATGGTATTGTTCAAGAACCACTTTACACAAGAATTTCAGTTATTGGATTGTATTTGTGGGTTAACAATGTATTTTCCAATTAAGACTAATCTCTTATACTTTGTGGATCATGTAAAAAAGGTTTTCATGTGGGACTTTTTGATCCATGTGGAAGGCGAAAAATGTGAGGGTAAATAATAGCCTATTTTAAATTTGATAGTGATGAGAATTGAACCCGGAAGCTCTTTACACATGGTGCACTCTTATTGCATGTTAGTTTTGCATGATGTGCTTCTTGACACCGACATCTGATTGGCATTAACATTTGACCATTTTATCCTGGAAGACTTTGTGCCCAAGCTGCCTGACACCGGGAAGCACAAACTGTCAGTGGGGAAAATCTTGAGTATTGCTGCTTCGGCTTGTGCAGCGATATTTCTGTCAGTCGTTCTGCTTTGGCTTTGCTGGAGAAGGAAGAATGTCGAAGATAATGGTAAGAAAAAAAATTAAATCTTATTGTTCATACTAAGCTCTTTCAAAAAGTCAACATTAGTGTTTTTCATATTGTCTGATGTGCAGAACTCAAAGGACTTGAGTTACAGACTAGTATCTTCAGCTTGAAACAGATTAAAGCTGCAACCAATAACTTTGATCCTTTGAATAAGATAGGTGAAGGGGGGTTTGGCCCAGTTTACAAGGTAATAATATCATAACCTTTACTCATTAATACAAGATATTCCCATCTTTGCCTCATGTTTTTTCACTTGGGTCTCAGGGAGTGCTGCCCAATTGTTTGCTTATTGCTGTGAAACAACTATCTTCCAAGTCTAGACAAGGAAACCGTGAATTTATAAATGAAATTGGTATGATATCTGCAATACAACACCCCAATTTAGTGAAGCTCTATGGATGTTGTACTGAAGGAAACCAATTACTCCTCATATACGAATATATGGAAAATAATAGCCTTGCCCGGGCTTTATTTGGTTAGTGATTTCCTTTGCATGATGGGTGTCGACTTTTTTTATGATATATTTTCTCTAAGTGATTACTTGATAATCAATAGGTCCTGAAAGATGTCGCTTGGAACTTGATTGGCCAGCGAGGTGTAAAATTTGCCTAGGAATAGCAAGGGGTTTGGCATATCTACACGAAGAGTCAAGGATAAAGATTGTTCATAGAGACATTAAGGCAACCAATATTCTTCTTGATGAAGATCTAAATGCAAAGATATCGGATTTCGGTTTAGCCAAACTTGATGAACAAGAAAATACCCATATCAGCACCAGGATAGCAGGCACTATGTGAGTATATCTTCAAGCTTCAAGCAAGTTTATGGTATAAACTCCATAAAACCTGCTCACTTTGCTTCTGCTACTGAAATTTATAAGGATGTTTATGTGCTTGTAGAGGATATATGGCTCCGGAATATGCAATGCGGGGATACTTGACGGACAAAGCAGATGTTTACAGCTTCGGAGTTGTAATGCTGGAAATTGTTAGTGGAGTGAGCAACACAAACTACAGGCCTCAAGAGGACTTTACTTATCTTCTTGATTGGGTAAGAACTATTGAGTATTATTAATAGTTAACCTAGTTATTTGAGCCCATTTGATAAAATATGTAATTATGCGTTACTATATATTTTTATGAAGTAATTGGGTAAAAAACCAAAGCTAATTGTCTATGTGGGTACTATGAAAAATTGATATTAGTTTCTGCAGAAAGTAAAATACCCTGTTCATTTATTGTACTTAATGAACGCGCTTGGTCAGTGAATAAGCTTTCGTATTGTATATTTTTGGGTAATCATGTGCGTTTCTTTATTTATGACATTATGTTATCAGTGCTTGAAATAATTACATTTTCTCCTATTTCACATTCCATGTAATTTTATATAAGCATATTGGGAAAAAACAGATTTTTCTAAGTTGCCTACTAAAGTATTAAGTTATGGGGAGTAACAGTGGGTTAGAGCTCTGAAAGATAAGCATATAAGCAAGTTTCAATAGCTCTTGACCACATTTTGCACTTATATTTCCGTATCATTTCTTTGTTGTTAGATATGAACATAATAATTACTTGATGACTCTTTTTCAGGCGTATGTTCTAGAAGAGGAAGGAAGACTACTAGAACTTGTCGACCAAAACCTCGGTTTAAACTACTCAAAGGAAGAGGCATTACGAATGTTGAACTTGTCTCTCATATGCACCAACCAATCTCTAACTCTTAGGCCTCCGATGTCCATGGTAGTTAGCATGCTTGATGGCGAAATTCCGGTGCAAGCTCCATCAAAGATTCCTTCTAATCAAAAGAATGAGGGCTTTAAGTTCAGGTCCTTTGAAAATATATCCCACTATAGCCAATCTCAGACCGTATCGAAAGATGTGCCATACAGTGAGTTGTCAATATCCGTTAACAGTAGGGAAGATGGAGTTTCTTGTTCCTCGTCAAGTAAGCTTCTCTCTGAGAGTTAGGGGCTGTTTGGTTGTTGTCGGTAAAGTTGTGTATTTATGACACAACTTGGAAAGTTGTTATTCAAATCATCAATTTTACTGAGCAATTTTTTTTTGTTTGTTTTATATTCTATTGGAATCATAAATTACTTGTTTGGTTTGCAAAATGTAACTTTAATTGCTTGTTTGGAAAGTGTAAAAAGTGGTTATTCTGTGGTCCCTACTCAAATGATTCCATTGGCCTAGCACCCTCACTTCTGACACATATGTCAGCTTTCCTTCAAAATCAGACCATTTTGAAGGGATTTGTGAATCCATATCACATCAACATAGTAAATCACTTTATACTATTTTCACAACTACAAACAAACAATTAAAAAGAAGGAAATCAGACATTGGGACCTATTTTTTTATACTTTTTATCCTTTTACATAGTAAAAACTTACAACCAAACAGCCCCTTAAGGATGAATTCATACTCTAGGGATATATATTATTCCTCTTAGAAGTTGTATAGCTTTTCAGAATTTTCTGCCGACCATTTGTTGAATAAAGGTGCTGGTCGCTACTTGCCCTCTAAACTATCAGAGTTATCCCTTTTACCTTTTGAACTATTTTTTTGTCTCGTCTTAGCTCCTAAACTATTAAGTTCGTCCATGCTTACCTCCTGAACTATTTTCGATCTCAGTTTACACCCTAAACTATTACTTTCCTCTCTAAATCCAGTTAAAACACCTACAAAGTAATAAATGAAAGGTGGTAATTAGATACTTAAGTGATAGTTTACGGAGTAAGAAGGGGCGAATTTAACAGTTTAGGGGGTATGGTGGGTTGAAAAATAGTTTTTGGGGTCAGCAAGAGACAAGTTCATTAGTTTAAGGCAACGGCGGAGCCAAAACTTAATTCCAGTGGTGTCCATATATAATATTTTCAGTACTTTGGGGCTGTTTGGTTCGTTTCCTGAAAATATATAATCCCTCCCAAGACATCAAATCCATTAAATTCCATGCATATCTTGTAATTGCTAATTTTAAGTCTGGTTCGACATGATAATAAGAAAACAAATCTTAGAATATGTAATTTCTTGTTTGGTTCAAGTCTTAAAAAATAGGCAAGTGAAAATTGTAGAAACCTTTTCCAATCACTCTCTTGTTAGTTTCCAAAAAAAAAAAGAAAGAAAGAAAAAATAAGAAAGAAAGAAAGAAAGAAAAAAAATCTGTTTATGATTATCTTTGGTGAGCTTACTATCTGCGTATTGCCAAGATTGCTACTATTAAGAAGGGGGTAACCATACCCAATCTTTGGGTGGGTGGTTGACATGCACCCCAATTCCTCTCCAAACTAGAGTATTTGACAAATCTTTAGGATGGGGGCGCTTTTTGCATTTTGTAGAAATCATTTCTGACAATTTTATTTGAAACAAACAACATATTAGGAACTCTAATTATGCAAGATGCACCTTTTGTTCATTTTCTTGCTTTTCTACCCCAAATCTATAATTTTTTGGTGAACCAAACAATCTCTACAAGTAAAAGCATTGATAGCTTTTATAACTTTATACTCTTAGTGGTGTCCCACACTATTTATAGTGGTGTCCTACTAGTAAATACAAGTACAACTAAATAAAAATGTTGCCAAAGTCTTGTGGCACTAGTTTAACGAGCACTAGTTTAAGGGGAATGTAAAGGACTATAAATTGCTACACCACTAGTTTAAGGGGCGTGTAAGGACTGTAAAATGCTCGAGCGGTAAGAAGGAATGAAGTTAGTAATTTATGGGGGGCAAGTAAGGTTCAGAGCCTTGAATAAAATAATGGTGATTCATATGTACACCCTTTAAATCATGTTTATTTGCTAACTAAACTTAAATCTCAATATTTGCGAAACTACCTACAAATCATCAACTCTAAAAAAAAGTACCCCTAAAAAAAAAGATCACCTATTTTATCGAACATGAACTAGAAATTGTCTATTTGGTTGATATATTTCCGTTGCAGTTACAAATAATCCTGTCAAAGTTGATGATTTGTTGAAA